GACTCTTCCGTTTAAAAATCAAAACTGATTTTTTTAATTTAATTTTAAAAGTTTAGATTAAATACGTACAGTAAAATCTAAATACATGCATAATTACTGGCTACCTAGCCCGTACCTTATTTTTGTTTGGGTGTTGTCACACCATGCACATCTCGTGTGACACACAACCCTGTTACCAGGGCACGGTTACACGATGCGTGTTTTTAGCTGAATTGAGGTAGTAAATCTGCTGTTCTCGTTTGCAAGATCCAAGAAAAACGAGTCTTTTCATTACCGCCAGCACTTGATAATTTAAACGCTTGAGGCGCAAGTCGTATCTTTGCTTCAATGAAGTTTGAACGCTGTATTCTCTTCCCTTCTCTTTTTTTGTGAAGCCGGGGTTAGTCTTTGTTTCGAGGACTTTTCTGCAAAATGTAAATGTGAATTATACCTGTCTTATCGATTTTTAATCAAACCATTTCAAGTTTTAGGCTTCCGTCACCATTCGCTGTGTTTGCAAATTCCGTGGTTTCTTGATTGAAAATTTCATTACCTTTGTTGTCAAAAGAATCGACCTGAATCCGTTGAGCTTCTCCTCGTAATATGAGTGTCACCATTTGATTTTGGTCGCTCACTTGTAGAGCAGTGGAAACATCCGAGCACACAATTTGTAGTGAATGGTCATAAATCGTCTCTTCTTTAGCGGAAAGAACTACGAGTACGGGAACTTTTTGTAAGGGATTGAGAGTACCCTCTGTGGGCGAAATCTGAAATTCAGTCGGTAAATTATCGCTGCTCAGTCGCCACAAGACGTCAATCGGCGTGACGTTCTCGATATAAAATGTTTTTTTATTCTTACGGTTTGGCAGAAGTTTGTTAAAATTCAAAATCGGTTGCTGTGGCGAAAAAATTGACATGGATGGCTTTTTTACGGGTGGCATACCAATATTTCTTTGAATGGGTCTATCCAATGTAGAAACATTTTTTTTTCGAAGGTCACGTGTCTGAGTCTTTTCTTCTGCTGTAATTGTCGCTACAGATTGTTCCCATGGACCATGAAGCTTCAGTTCTGGTATACAACCATAACAATTGATCCGAAATTCTACTGGTTCGGGATTATCCCTGATACAGCAGATTAAAGAGTTTTCTTGAAGACCATTTTTTGAAGGGTTTGCCCACACCATCACATTACTTGTGTCATTTTCCTTGAGCTCGAGTGCACGTGGAAACACAGCAAATGTGTTGTCATGTTCTAATTTCAAGACTAACTCGACGTAAATAGGATATTGGCTGCTGTTGGATATCCGAAACACTTCGACATTGTTTGGACTCGTTTTTTGCCACTCTATAAAATCTTGCTGTGTTTGTGGTGGTTCCGCACATTGATTGTTGACAACAAGTGGTCCAAATTCAAACTGATTTCTCGAAGTCACAAACTTTTTACGGACAAAGTGATCATCTGAGCGAGTTTTTACTCGGTGCATGAAGACATTTCTAGGCTCGTTGTTTATGGTCGGTACACCGCAAATTCCACGACAGAGTAAATTAAACTCATGCTGGCTTCCTACGATTTCAAATCCCAAACTGCAGTCGAAAATTCCAACATCAGTAGAAGCAAATAAAACAAGTACATCGACGCTCGAGTGCGGAGCAATAATCCACCGGCTTATTGAAGGGGAACATGATCGCGACTCCGAGCTTAATACTTCAGAAGCTGCCCGAATTCCAATACTGTTTACGCAACTTGACTGTACTATACATCTTTCTGTCTGTGGATTCGCATCTGTAGTCGTAACCACCAGATCTTGTTCATTCAATTCGGATCGCGTCAAATATTTATTTGGACCATTTGCTTCAGCAGCCTCTTGATAAATGTCGCTGTTCACTTCCAGCTTGTGTGAAGATACCGTATTCGCTGATCGTAGAGAAAATTTAGCGACACTTTTTCGAGGAAGTCGTTCTGGGGGAGATTGAACTAACTGAACCGTTGTAGTGGTAGGGATTGGCAAGCGGCTACACTTCCAATTTTGGGTAAAATTTTCAATAGCAGACATGATCAAGCTATGGAGAATGTGCGGTGGACCAGCTTTTTTAATAGAAATTTCCAATACATAGTTGTCTAGGGTGAAAACTTCGCTCGCCTTCGCCCACAAATCCTCTGCCTGAATGTCTTCGCCTTGGGGTTGACCAAAGGCTGCTTTGTCATGCATTATCAAGGAAGCTAGTTGGCATTTCATGTCTTGCAATATTAGTGAGTACTCCAGAAAGGTAGCAGGCTTAGATATATTTGCAGCTTGTGGGCTCGCCGAATCCCATATCACCTTTTGTACTGGACGAGTGCTTTCGAATGAGTTGTAGAATTCAGCTTCGACGGGTTCACCACTCTTAGTGACTAGATCCTGCGTTACTTTTTGACTCGAAGCTAACTCTAAATGCTTTTGATCTTCTGTCTTAATTGTATTATCTTCGTTACAACCGCTCTTTTCCGCATTTTGCGCATTTAATTTTTCTGTAACACCATTTGCGTCATTGAGTAATGAAGACTTTAGAGTCAAGTCATTATTTGAAGTCAATGGCGCGTTAGAGGCAGTGCTATCAGCTATAAATTTTTGGCTTGTGGTCAACGCACACAGAGACTCGTACGTGTCTTCGTCAAAACTCAGTACAATAACTCTGACCGCTAGAAGAGGTTTGAAGTAGCATTGCAGAGTTTCTTGAAAACTCAAGAATGAGTTTTCAAAACTGTCCAAAACACTGCCTTTTTTCATATCTGGTTGTGCCATTCTCCACAAGATAACGTGGTGTAATAAATAAGCAAGCCTTTCAGAAGTGGTTTGGCGTGATGTCTCTCCTTGCGCAAAATCATCAGCCAATTTTGGCATCTCTATATGCATAGGGTCAATTGCAACGGGACTGACGCCGAGCGCTTCACGCATGGCATCTGCTAAAGGGCCTTTGGCAACACAAACTGACTGAATTGCGCCATCTATCGTCCATACAACCAGTGACTCCTTTTCAGCAAGAAGGCAAGCTTGTGTTGACCTTCCGCATTGCGAAGGCCCGACCACAATGTAATCGATGCCTTTCCTTGGTATAATATGAAAGTCCGCAAAGCCGTTTGACGACAAGATTGTTTCTCCAAAATCGCTATTCTCCTTCGAAGTGAGATCATTTGTTCCCCTTAATTTAGCAGGGTCGGCATCTGATTGACCCACATCAGATATGTGTGCGGGGATTAAAATGTTGTCAGCCACGTATTCCGCTAAAGATGTTCCTGGAACGCGGACCGGCAATCGCAGCGTCTTTTCCGAGGTGAAAGCGTTTAAGGATTGCAGTTGAGCTTCATCATGCTGGTACGCGGAGTCAAAATCCAATGAGAATACTTCAACCGCGTAATCAGAGTCATTGCATATCTCCACATGCCGCTCCTCTGGCGGGGAACAAGGAAGCACGGGACCAAATTCAACTAGAGGCGGGTGAAAAGAAATGCGCAGCTCAGAACCCTCTCCACGGCACACAATCGATCGCGTTTTGGTATCTGAAGAAACTTTGATTGGAAGCCTTAAATAAAAGTGGCGCTCTTTATCCGGAATAAAATCAATTTTTATGTTCATTTTGGACCCCGGGGGTAAAAGTCCTCTGCGTGGGGTAATGTCAAAATTTTTTACATCCTTCATTGAACCCATCGGCTTTTTAAAGACCCATTCGGCAGGCACATGGGACACGTTCTGCATCTGGGTATAGATCGTACGACACATCCCGACAGCTATCTTGCCAAATTCGAGATGTTCCGTGGAAATTTCAATCTCTGGCACTGTGACTACAGCGCGGACCACCACAGTGCAGGGGGGTCCGTTCTTTACTAAAATTGAAAGTTGCGCTTCAAACTTACCCAAAGCAATAGACTTTGAGGCGCTAAATTTAACGCTCAATTCAATCGACTGTTTCGGGGGTAATTGCACCACTCGTTCAGGTTCAATTTGAATCCCATTTGCCTTTGCTAAATCTTGATCGATCTGGAAAGAAGCTGGGCCATGACCGATGTTAGTTACATTGAATCGTTTGATATTATGTGCTCCCACGACAACATTTCCATAGTCTAATACAAATTGAGACAAAACAAACGATAGTTCTTCAAGCTCGCGTTTCGCCTTTGCCTTGATATTAGATCTGGACGAAGGTGGCCGCGGAGAATTAGTAGAACGCCTGGACCCCGTCTTTATCTCCTCTGCTTCTTTTAAGTTGACGTCTTTTGGCTCGATACTCGTCATGTTGGCCTTAGCCATTTCTTGTGCTATGATGAAATTCGAAAAAAATAAGCGACACGCTTCGAATTCAACATCCAAATCGTCAGCCTCAGGTGTCGTAATACTACAAGCCGGACTGCCGGGTACTTCACCACGCTGATGAGATATCTTTGTTCTGGATAACGCAAGCCCATTGTCTGCACGTGCGCTTGATTTGGTCAGTTGTAAGTCAGACTGTATTAAGATTGCACTCTCATCAAGTAATTGTCGATTTGTGTTCGCCGTACGGGCTGGTTTGAGCAGTTTCTGCTCAAGATCAAGCCTTGCTCGCAATTGTAACTCTTTCCACGTCGCAAAACCATCATACATAGCATTGACCTGGTCGTTCTCGCGCGGCAAATTGAGTGTGACTGCAGCAAATGTTCCACAACCGAAGAGTTTGAATGGGAAAGGTTGAAAGTGGGCAAGTTTAATCACAATGTTTTCATCGAAAAACTCCGGAATTCCAGGTCGCAAGCGCACTATGATGCGTTGCCTTTCGTTGGAAGCAATAGTCCCAGTGGTCGGGAAGAACTCACACGTCCTTCTGCGTGCGGTCTCGTTGACAATTAATTTGAAAGAAAAAGGAACTTTGCCGACGTTCAAAATGTGAAAGTCGCGACTATGTGTTTTGCTGTAAAATACTTGGCCAAAATTGAGAAAATTTCTATCCAGCTCGTAAGCTATAGACGACGCCTCCCCCGACAGCATTAGCTCGTATTCGGGCCCACCTTCAATTTCACATGCCACAATGCTCCTGAATTTACGGTCAGCATGCCCAAAATATACAAATTCAATTTTTTCACTCTCGTTGGGCCTTAATCGCCCACAAATCGGCAAGATATCAAAAACTTGATTGATAGGAATGTATGGTTTGATTGATGACACATCTTTCTCATTTTCAACAAAAATCCATCTGTAACTTGTGTCTACTCTCGATACATTTGTCACATTCATATAAATCGACTTTTGTGTATCGTTGAGTGTGCAGCCGAAGTCGATGTTGGTCGTCTCGAAGGAAAGGTTTGGAAAATTGATGTCGCCTATAAGATCAACACTATCCTTTTGAGGGTGATCTGTATAGACTACTATAACCTTTCCATTGATAACTCGACAAATGTGGTCATCCTTAAATCCCGGATGAAATACCACGTTCAAATCAAGCTTTTCGCCAGGTTGTAATAATGCCTCCCAGCAATCGAGTGCAAATGGCATCTGCGTGTGAAGTTTGAAGGACAATGGGAGTTCGCAATCATTGGTGAGGCAGAGAGAACGCGACAATGTTTTAATTTGACTCCCAGGATGGTGGATATACTCGAAAGACAAAAACGACGATGAGAAAATTAGTCTCGGATTGACGAATTTTGCCCGAATCAAAGTTAAAAATGAAACTGTGCTGACTTTATCGTTCCCCACACGTGTCTCACACGTAAGTTTTTCTTCTATCAGTCCAGCTGAAGATGACAGGCCCTTGAATACAAAAACACACGCTGTGCGTGGCTTTAGCTCAATTGTATTTGGAAAGATTGAAAAAACAGGTTTTGCCCGGTCTTCTCCATTAATACCTTCACATTGATTATTATTTGACGGATTTCGCTGTTCACTTCTCGATTTCTTCGAAAATCCTTGGGTTTTGGTAGAGCTGATTTTGCGTTTATCAGATGCTGCTGCTTGACTTATCCAAGAAAGCACCTGCACACGCTTCCCCCTGTTTTCGAGTGTACAACTCCACTCACACACTTTGCTCGTCAATTGGTACTTGAAGTCGATTTCTCGAAAGTCACTTGACGACCATATCGTCGTTCCTGTTCCTGAAATTGACAAGGGTACGACAAGGCTGTCTCCATCATTAATTAAAATGTGTAATTGATCCTTATACGCCACAGTATCATCCATATTAGCTACAATTACCAAATCTAAGCTTTCATTAGCCATCAGCACTCCTTCCAATCGATTGATCTGGAATTTGGAGCAAGCCTCACGAGTAAATGTTTTAAAAATTGCTGGAATGACAGATACATTAGTCATACGAAGGATTCGCTCATGATCAACAAGGCAAGAGCAGTTTCCCCAGTTAATCTGAGATTGGTCCAATTCAACTTGCGGACCAGAACCAGCAGCGCTTAAGATCACAGAAAGGGGAACGTCCGTGCTCCCTAGAACATTGATCGTCAGTGAGAGTCGAATGCTACCAACTTTTTCGCACAAAAATGAGATTTCTATTGGCACTTGTTCTCCTGGGCTTACTTTGCCAGATAATTGGCTAGCGGTATAAGTGGCAATGGCACGAGAATAACTATCTTGCTCTGCGATTTCAAAGCGTCCAAATAAGAAGGAGGACTTGTTTTCCAACACCAGCATTTGTTTGTGCGGGTAACGAAGAAAACATCGGCCAAAATCGAGCTCACGTTCGAGAACTGTCAGCTCAGGAACAAGGCATTGAGCATTGATTGGGATAGCAAGCAAGTCGGCTCCAACACCAATGACGCCAACAACAAGCTGGTAGTGATACACCTTAACGTTAAGAGACATGAAATGGATCGTAATCTGCTCTTCCTCGTATGGACCAAGCTTGCCGTCCGACGGATTCACCTTAAATTCTTTTTGCTTGTATTTCGCTTCTTCCGGAATGCATATAGAATAACTTAATGCAATATTTGAGGTGTTGACGAGCTTTATCGATCGAGACTGAGAAAATGAATACGAGACCGCACCGAAATTCACTTGGTCAACATTAAATCGAAGGATGGGAGGGATCACCTGCGCTTTCATGCGTACTTTAAGTTGCTCGTCGGAGCCTTTCAAGCCAAAACAAATTGGTTGCAAGACTTCGCCTAGCTCTTGGGAACTGAAGGTGACCTCAATTTTAAGCATAGTATTGACTGCTAGAGTACCATGATCTGGACTTACCGTTATACTCATATTAGCAGGCATTGTTACAGAAATCAACTCAAAATCAGCTGAAATCTCGCCTTTGTTCTGAATCGTGAAGTTGCGGGTACGTTCTTCGTTAATAAATATATCGCCGAAATCCAGATGCTCATTGTAGACGATTTCCACCTTTGGACCAATACCCTTTCCTGTCAGTTGTAGAGGGAGTCGGGCGGCCTTCCCTGCTATTTCTAAGAAGGCACGGCAGGAGTACGAACGAGCAATATCTGGTTTGAAACAAACGACTATGTCAACCTCGGAATGTGCCCACACCCGCCCACTTAATGGTGAGATCGAGAAGCACGCATCCACGAATTGCATCGAATCGTCAAGGCTTGCCTTACGCAGATACCTGTACTTTGTATCCAAGGCCTTTCGCACGTCAAATGGCGAGTGTGTACATCTCGAGTCTACATCGTCAGTCTCTCCGAGTTGCAGTTGTAGTTTCTCGCGCTCTGCTGTTTCCATTCGGGAGAGTTCGTCGAGTAAGTAGGACCGCTCTTCTTCCTCCCGGCTAGCATCTGCAAATGATTTCCAAGAAAACTCGAGGGCGTATTCGGACTCGTTGCAGATCTTTACTGTTTTGCAAGACGACAGTGACAAATACGTTGCGCTAGACTCCACCAATCGTTGACTCAAGAACAGGTCAACCTCAATCACGCGACCTGTTAGACGGACGACAGCCGTTTGACCGGTACTGTCACTTACCTCAAGTTCGCCTTCACCTGACTCCAAACATGGCGGAATACAACTCAATTCAATCTGCACAGCAGCCCGTTGGGTCAAGGTCGTACTAGACGGAGTGACGCGAAAGTGCTCACTCGTCTTAAATACAAATGAAGCGCCGCGCGTCCCTACATTTCGCACAGTCAGAACGCGAGTCGTGGGCATCTTAACGGGGCAAATGCCGAAGTCGAGCTTGTCCGGCAAGTCTAATGCTGCGAAGCGCCCCTGCACTCGAACAGGCAATAGGAACCGCTCGCGCTCCGTGCAGCACACAAGATCCAGCGAGTAATCGGTCACGTCATGTGGAAGAAACTCAAGAACGAAAACAATTTCCATTCCCGCAGCCACCTTCCCGTCGACTGGGGTAGACTTAGCACAATCCTTTTTGTTTCCAGCATCCCACGGTCGAACGCGGTAAAATGGAGAGCGTGGAGTCTCAATTTTTAAGCGACGCACGACAGTGTCGCAGTTACGAAAGCGGAGTTTGATACTGAGTGGCTCAAATGGCGTGTATTCATCAATCCAAACTTCGGAAGGTGAAGGTTTAAATAAAGGCTGATGGAGCGGCACGGAGCTTGAAATATGCGCCGTGTGATCCTTGGTATCCAGAAGCTCTATAATTTGACTCGTTGCATGCTTAATGGCATGGGCTTTGGCTGTTGAAAAGCCTGTGAGAATCTCGCTTGGCTTCTATAAGAACACACCGAAAATGAGGTCAATTTGATACCTCGTTACAGCCATGGAAGGAGCAGATTAACCGTACACGGCGCTTGGCCATAAATCAAAGGGTATCAACTTGCTTTTCACTTCGCTTTTAACTTTGTGAGGGTGAAGGGGCGCCTTAACGACCTGCTGACTAGCCGTCGCTCGTTGAAAGGCTCCAACCGGATACCTGACTATTACAGCTCAAGGCAACATTTGTGCGCGATATGGATTGAAAACGCAAATGTTTATATAATTTGAGTCTGGGTTTTAGGCTTTTATCACAAAACCCATCTCTTGTTTTTTTTGGGAAATTTGGGTTTTAGTCACAAGGCCAAACGCAGGTCCGTCGCGGACTTGACAATCTTTTCTATGCCGTATTCTCCTCGTTCTTGTATTTATACCATCATCACAGCGGCTGGTAGCCTGGTATCCGCTTGACGGCCTGAGCAATGACAGACCCCGACTGTCTCCGCCGTTGATCTTACCGGGGAGTGCGTTGATGCTGTAGTAGTCCCTACTAAATAACGGGGGGAAGTAAAGTCGATGACGTTTGGAGTCAATTTACTGGCTCCTTGCGACCACAAAAAGCCCAGTCTGCTACCTATAAACACTGAAATGCCAGCGTCACTTATCGACTTAAATCGAAAGGTGTTAGAGCTCATTTAATAAGATGCACAGTTTTTTATGTCCATGACGTAGTTGAACGTTGTCGAGCATTGCGCTCGAGGAAGAGAAAGCAATGTGGATCAACTGAAAATCACTTGACATTCAAAAGACAGTCTTCTTTGCAAGTTACGTGCTACCGAAGCTCTTTAACAGGGGGAGAGGAATAAATCAGTCAACTAGTTGCCATGTGCTATTGTATCACTGAATCATCTTTTCAGCGCATTGAAGAAAATTCACGAAAGCCTTACAACTATGTAGCCCTCCCTGATCAGAAGAAACCTGCAGGTCCTTTGATGTAGAATTGTCTGAGATAGTTAGCTCACGAGTTCGCAAACAGTTGCAGAGCATTTGATTATTTGACTACAGATGGAAAGTCAAACTTAGAAAACGGATCAATTTGAATAACATGTTAATAGGCGGCGGTATGACGTTGTTATTGGAAAATATCTGTAAGCAATCATTGCTCACGATCCTAGCCGTGTCATTGAAATTTAAACAGCTCTTGGCTTTTCTATTAGTAGGGCAGCAGCTGATAACACTGCCACTTACAAATTGGTATGTAAACTGATGCAGTCAAAATATTTTAAGATGTTTTTTCAAGGGTAGGTGAGCACGGCCTGCATTTACATTTTGCAGCCACCAAAACCAAGCGAGGGAGAGCTGTCGCAGAATATCCCGATGGTCACCCATTCGGTTGTTTGCTCACATTTGCTTCTGACTTAGAGAAGTCGTATCGTATTATTCATATCACCACCAAATCAAGGTGAAGCGTGTAAAAGAACGCAATCACTCGATCGTTGAGCATCTACGTGGCGAGGCCCTCGGCCACTACACAAGCTGAGCTTGACGAATTAAAAGCTCTCCGAGCTCACTTCTTGGTTCTTCGAGAAATTCCGATGGATACGTACTGCACTCGACTTTGTGCTCAAAGAGGAGGCGCTCCTGTACTCGCGATGCGGAAGGTTGCTGTGGTGCTCGCCCTGGCGAAACCGCTGCAGATAACGAAGAGCTCTTTAAGCGATGGATGCAGTAGCACCGGAAAGTTTCCTCGCTATACAACTTACAGTTTAGCCACAGGTGAACGCGTGTGGAACGCCATCTTCGGTTTGAGTTTGCCAAAGTCAACGCGCGTCGCCGAAGAAAGTCCCTTCGGCGACGCATAAGTTGATCCATCACGCTCCCGCGAGCTCTGTGTCACTCACATGGGTGATTATGCGACCGCAGTAGCTCAGGGTCATAGCTCGAGCTGAGCTCATGGCCCTTCGGTTTCTGTGGTCATTGCCGAGAATTGCAGGGCGTACAACGACACGGATTGTCAAGATCCCTCTGGTCATAAGCGTCCACAACGTCTGGGCAGTCTTGCCGAAGTGGAGCTACAAACTTCCACTAGTTCTCGATGTCGGGGTATTGCCGCCACTTCACAAGATACTGGGTTTGACCCTGGCGACGACGTCGACCCACAAGACGTTCCACTTGATTGTGAACAGCACCATTCTCGTCGAGAAGAGCCGGCGGCAGACGACATTAACCGGGTCGATCGCCGTCCGGTGACTCGCGATGTTCTTCGAGCTCTTGAGGACGAGGTTTGTCGCTATCAGGGTTCCGCTGAGCATCATGCAGGGGTCGCATACCGCTGCGCGGAAGACCTCGAGAGCCGATCGAGTGACAAGCCTCTTAAGCCCAGGCTTGGAGCACGTTCTGTACCAGCTGCCTCACGTTGAGGACTATCGCGCTTTGTAGGAGCGGCTCCTAGCCGTTGAGGAAATGACGCTTCATGCGAAGGTGGAGCGCCTGGCACCGTTGAAAATGGGAATCGTTGCACTCTGTGCTCAAAACCAGTTGCTGGTTCAGCTTTTGGGTGGTCGAGCACCTGTGGGCGCCGCTCCGGTGCCAACGCTTTCACGTTTACTTGCTCTGGATCCCGGTAC